CACACACACACACACACACACACACACACACACACACACACACACACACACACACACACACACACACACACACACACACACACAACAACAACAACAACAACAACAACAACACACACACACACACACACACACACACAACACACACACACACACACACACACACACACACACACACACCACACACACACACACACACACACACACACACACACACACACACACACACACACACACACACACACACACACACACACACACACACACACACACGCATGTACACACACACAAAAATGCGCACACAAGCGTATGTTTGACGTCGGTGTACAGGACTTTAACAGCCACCAAAGAGTTGTCCCCAAACCCGGACGCCTCCAATTGCAACTGAAGCTCCAGACCTGCCCCAGGTAGGAGACCACTACCAGCACTGCAGCCTCTTCGCGAAGTTCTTCGCAAGCTGGATCATCCCACAGGCCCTTGCGGACAAGAAGCTCCAGGAGGAGCACTGGGCCCTTCTTGCCATTCCGGTGATACTGACTGTGACTGTTGTTGCCATGTTTAGCAAGACTACCACTGTCTTTGTTATGTGGGGTTTTTAGCATGGTCATCGTTACTATTAGTGTTACCGTTCTCTGGCCATCATATACTGTTACTTTGTTGATTGCTACTGTCAGTGTTCTTATCTGAATACATTAATCTTCATCCTGTCACTGTCATGCTTGTTGTTCACCTTTTTGTACCTTTTCCGATAATATCACATTGGGTGTGTCGCTCGAACCATTTTCTGAACATTGAACCCGACGACCGAAGAGCGGTTTTATTAATGCTTGGTGTTGCTCTGCTGTCGGGTTAGCTAACTTCAAGGTTTACATATGGGTAGTTGTCAAAATTCTGGTCCCTTTTTTGGGTACCCTAAATATTAGGTGCCGTATTATAATAAGGACCCAGAAAGGGACCCTAATTTTGACAACCACCCATATGGTTACTAAGTCATCATGACACGGACCAGCCCGGGCTGCCCTTTCGGAGCCGAAGGCTCGGAATTGCAGCCCTGAGCCCTGCCACTTGGAGGGTCGGGGGACTTAGGAAGTAGGTAGTCAGTAGACTTATAATTACCCTAAGCGGGACCCTAATTGGGGTTATGGTACTTACAAGTCCCTAAAATAACCAGTTACTAAGTCCCCCGACCCTCCAAGCAGGAGATGGTCAGGACGCTGAAGAACTGGGTGGTGGTGCGGCCGGGAGGGCTCATCGACGGCGAGGGCAAAGGGCACTGGCATGCCGCAGAAGATGCCTGTGGCACATACCCCACCATCCCACGTGCGGATGTTGCCGACTTCGTGGTGAAGGCGTGCTCCCTTAGAGTCCAAGTTTCAGGATTTAGTGTGCAGAGCCGTTGTCCTTGTCTCTGTCCCGGCAGGAGTGCCTGCCACCCAGTGACCAGTGGCTCCGACGAAACGTAGCCCTTGTCACGAAGAAGCCGAGCCGTGCGCGGCAGTGCTTCTCAAAGGCGGCCACCGACTCCCAGTGATGCCTACACAGGGGCATCAGACGGCCCTCAGAGGCCTGCAATAAAACGTTGCAGACCTGAGAACGCCTCTCATTTTTCATTTGGGTGGTTGTCAATATTAGGATCCCGTTTGGGGTCCTTACTATAATACGGCACCTGATATTTAAGGTACACAAAAGAGACCACAGAGTTTTGACAACCCAATTTTAATTTTGCTGTACCGGAGGTCACACCAACGCCAGGGCATCCTGCTGGTTGGGCGAGGGTGCCGGAGCCGTTTTGCACAGCGAAAGCTTCTCTTCGACAGGCAAAGAGGATCAAAAAGTCTCGAGCTTGGAGCTCGTCGTTTTATTTGCGTTTGAAAGCAGTTTCGATTTCTCGCGCTCTCTCTACTCCTGATTCATATGCTCCACAGACCTCTACTAACTCTTCTTCAGGCACTACACAAGCTATGTATCGTTTTCGGGGTTGTTTGCTTGTCAGGCGACTGGAGTTTGCAGCATTTGAGGTCTAGGTATTGAGGGTTTGGGGCTTAGGAGTTTTGGATTCCAAGGCCGGACAGGTCCCGAGTAGGCGTCCGTTCGGGAGGTTTTGTGAGATGATTATTCAATCGTCCTGCACCATGCTTGCACATGGTTTAGAGAAAGATGAAGCTGTGCTGTGTCGTCGGTGTTGAAGACCATCTTCGACCCAGCTGAAATCTGCACAGCGCTGTAAAGACCGGGTGTCCTTTCTCATAGGTTTTGGCATATGCTTCTGGCAAGTGAGCCTGCCAAGCTTCATGTAGACACCGACATAGTTTCTGGTCCGGCTCGACGTCCCCCAAACCCTTGACCCTTGTCCTTGCCTTGCCAGTGACATCGTCACAGCCATCAATGCAGAGACGGACTCTGAGGACCCTTGCATCCGGTTTAGGGCTTTGGGTGTCGGGTTTAGGGTTTAGTAATTTAGGGCTTGGGGTTGAGGGTCTAGGGTTCAGGGTTTACAGTTTAGGGTGAAGCGCCTGCAGGCATGCTCCCCCCAAGCAGGCTTTACCAAGAAGGCTTTCCGTCTTCACTTCTCAGGTCCGATCTGATGCACACATCGCTCAAGAACTGTGCCGTGGACCCGGAACTTGGCCCCCCCGGTTGACAAAGGTCTCGTCCTCGAACCTCGCTCTTCTGCGCAGGATGACAAGCAGCAGGCGAGTTCCAAAGACAGCAAAGAAGGCTCGGGAAGGGAAGACACTGGGGGGGGGGGCGGACGCAACGTCATGATGTGGATTTTGGTCGTAAGTAGTGGTCGCCGTCAGCGGAAGCAGCATCAGTTGCAGCATGCACCACCTCTAGCAGGACTCTACCAGTGCAGGAATCGTCATCGTCATCATCGGATCCCCATCGCGTAAGTAGCACTGAACAGCCCATGGTAATTAGTTGCCATGCCAGATTCAAGGGTGTCACACTCGGGCTCTTAGCAGTACTTGGCGCGACCATCTCAACAACCACCAGCAACGACAGTTAGACACAGTAGCCCGCATAATGGAGATATCTTGATAAGCATGAAGAGCCTGCAAGCATTGTTCTAGATGTTAAGGTCCTATATTAATTAACCCCCTGTAGCAGGCATACCTACAAGCTCGTAAAACCCTTAAGCCCCCACTGAAAACCCCGGTTCTGACTATTGAGGCCCCGGCATGAGCAGTACTCGTATGGCCTTACATTCCCTACTTGGAGGATCATGGGACTTAGTAAGGTTATAAGTACCCCAACTGGAGTTATAAGTATAGTTTCCTTGTTTATAACCCTAGTTACTAAGTCCCATGATCCTCCAAGTAGGTCCCAGACGATGGATGCCAGATTTTTGAAATGCAGACAAACTCAACCGCGAGACTTCCGGTATTGTGGGCTTTGTCGGATTGAGGTTGGGGTATGGGATAGGGTATGGGATTCAGGCTCCCTCTAATGGCACAATAGGAGATCGGGCAAAGCCTCTTTGAAGCTTGCTTGGAGGTTCATGGGTAGTTATAAGTAGGGTTGTAAGTCCCCTAGTATGGTTTACAACTATGGGTCTCCCACTTACAACCCCACTTATAACTACCCATGAACCTCCAAGTGGTATCATTCCGCACTGTGAGAAGGCAAGTCCTCCGAGGCAGAGGCCAAGGACAAGGCCCGCGTACTTCTGCTTCACGGTGTGGGAGTTATAGAACTGCGAGTTTTCTGGGTTGTGAGGGTTGGGATGGGAGGTATCTTCAACAGAGGTACGAAGACGGCTCTTTCTTGATTTCTTAACCCTAAACTCTAAACCCTAAACTTCTGCGCCGGGGCTTGGCTTTGAAAGGAAGCTCCAGAGCGTTGCTTTCGGCTGAACCCCGAGCCTGAAGAGCAAACCCTGGACGACCCCAGGTGCGCGGGTAGCTTTTTGGGGCAGACATTATACTATAGTTATAACAATATACTATAGTTATAATAACATACTATAGTTATAGTAATATACTATAGTTGCAATAATATACTATAGTTATGATAAGGGGCCCTTCAGGCCCCTGTATTAGTTGCGGTATCAAGGCATCAGGGTGCCCAGATCGGGGAACAGGGAGCCCATAGTACCAGTTCAAGGGTGGAAGGCCCAGGGGTCTAGGACACCCGAAACTCTGACCGTACATCCTGAAGCCTGCACCCTGAGCCCCCAACCCCAAACCCTAAACACTGAGGGCGAGTCCTCATCCGTATAGCCTTAGCCGGCAAGAGCGACTCCACACCCTCAACATTGAAATCCTGAGGCATAAACAGCTGGAGCTGGAAATCCTACATTTTACATGTGAAACCGTAAGCCCTGACTCTGAATTCCGAAAACCCGATCATACCCTATCCTAAAGCCAGGTTTTAGAATCTAGGGCTTCCAGCTTAGACTAAGTTAGATGTTACAACTTGAGCCTTAGAGTTGATGGATTCGGATTTCGGGGGCTTTGGAGCCCAGGAGAAGTCCAGCAAGACTTCCGCGGAGGAGGACGCAGCGCAAAAAGGGGGGAGAGGTGGGAGTCTGGGGCTGATTCGGATGCTAGGGTTTAGGGTTTTATGCAAGATGTCATCGGACGTCCCATGCGAGAAGAACGCAAGAAGGGTTTTAGGGGTTTAAGGTTTAGGGTTTAGGGTTCAGCTGTAAAGGTTGTCTCAGGGCTCGGGGTTTGGGCTGTAGTGCTGAGGGCAGCAGTCAATGCTTTACATAAGAAGCTGTAGGCTTAGAAAGACTCCGGATCTTGAGCCAGAGCCTGAGGAGTCCTTGCATCACCTTTAACCGTAAACCCTAAACCCTCAAGAAAGCCGGGCAGTCCTTGCATCGCAGCCTGCAGGAGGTTAATAGGTCGCTCTGTCGAAGGAAGGGGATTGCGGAATGTTATATAGCCTTAACGGTTAGAATAGGGTTTGGGGCCCATTATACTAGAATGATAATCACCAACCCTCAGAGTAGTATAGGTACTTGTTAAAGCCCACTATATTACACCTGCCTGTCGGACATACCACAGGAAGAGCCCCGAACTCCTTGTGTTACTCCTCTTGCCTCTGGTGTCCCTGCATAAGGTTCTCTGGTCTCTACGTTCTCCACCTAAACCCTAAACCCTAAACCGTTAAACCCTAAGTTAAAGAGCCATGGTTCCTGACTCCTACTGCTCCCAAGTCCCGGAACCCCAAGCCATGGGCCCGGCACCAGGAACCCACACTCGAAGCTGTGGTAATAGGGTTTTAGGGTTTAGGGTATAGGGTTTCTTCGGAACCTCTGAATCTGATCTTCGAGGTCACATATCCTGACATTCTTAAGCCCGTGGCTTGATTTTTTGCGTGCCGAGCGCGAGCTCTTATGAAAACTTTCGCCACTTCGACCTGCGACCACGGCCACGACTACTACCGCTACGACTGCGACGACGACTACTTCTTCTCCCACTCCTACTTGCCCTACAGTACTCCAGCTCCTGCTGCTGCTAACACGAAGACCCCCTTGCGATTATTTCTCGGAAGGAGGAGCAGTATGTGGAGTGACTCTGGCAGCATGCGCTTTCGGATTTTATTGCCGAAACTTTCTTTCAGAGTCCCAGGATGCGGCTTCGGGGGATCGTCTGGGTTCATGGTGGAGGCTTTAGGGTTTAGAATTCAGGGTTCCGGGTTTCGGGTTCAGTGTTCAGGGCAGAGGGTTAGGTTCGCACGTTGTCTTCGGAGGTTCAGAGACTTGGAGGCTTCGGGATCAGAGACTCGGAGGCTTCGGGGTCTCGGGGTCTTCAGGAATTCTTTGGGGCCTTTGGTTCTTCGAGTTTCCGAGGTTCTTCGGAAATCAACTGCTAGATCTCGGGCTTGGGGTCTTAGAGTTTCGAAGTTCCTGGGCTGGGCTCAACCTGAACCCTAGACACCAGACTCGAAACCCTAAACCCAAAGTCCCTCAGCCCTCAGCCCTAAACCCGAAACCTTAAGTCCCTAAGCCCCTAAGCTCCAAACTCTCAAGTCTAGACCCTAAGCCCTAAGCCCTAAACCCTGAACCCTGGTCCCTCAGCTCCAAAACCCTGAACTCTAAACCCTGACCCTAAACCCAAAGGCCCTACGCCCGGAAAGTTTAAAAGCCCGAAACCCTGAGCCCCCAAGTCCCTGATCCCCAGAGTCTTCCGGTTTTGAGGGCCAGAGGTTCCCGGCGCAAGGAACCCCTAACCCTAAACCTTCCAAGCTAGTAGTCAGAGCGGGGCTTCGGCGGGATACGGGTTGAACCAATGAATTCGAAACATCGGCACACGTTTCAGCATTGTGTTATGGAGCACAGCAGAAGGCGATGATTTGCGTACTCTTGAAGCAGTCTGAGGAGGAGCCCTAAGCCCTGAGGAATAGCATTGGAGATCATGCAGTCGTCTTTCTGTGGGTTTCCGAAAATTAGGGGTACTTTATCTTGGGGTCCTTATAACAAGGATCCTACCTATTTTGGGTACTTTTTTGGGGTCCCCCCAAAAACCCGAAGCTCCCATCTTTGACCCTAAACCTCGGCCCGGCCCGAAGCCCTGAAGG